ATCAACTTAGACCATCAGTGATGTTTAAAATGAGCTACAGTTTGTATATACTTGTTTGTCCTGACATTTGTATAATTTGAACACAATACAGAACTTTTGATGTAAAGACAACATTTTACCTTTTCACCAAGGATTTCTTATCCACCCCTATCCCATGTACAGTAGTATTCACAGAGCCCATTAATAGGACTGTAAATCCAGGGCTTCTTTTGTGTACATCAGTTTAAATTCGTATGATGTCTTATCAGTGCCGGCCCGAGGCAAGTTTTAGGATGGAGCGAGATCCTATTATGGTGCCCCCTTGGTTGACCCTAATTTATACTGTTTAATTTTCTTTACCACTGAGGTGCCCCTAGGACTTTAGCACCTGGAGCAGCTGCTCCATTTGCCCTATGGTAGGGCCGGCTCTGTGCCTTATGTACTGACTTCTGAACCAGACAGCAAAGATTCAATTCCCTAGAGTAAACAACAAAATATTAATTACTCAGCCTTCATTGTAATGAGTACATTATACCTATCACTCTTCTTTTGAAGTCTATTTTACTTGATTTTGATATATTGCAGTCAACAAAAGAAAACCAATCCTCTTTTTACACAATTGACTTTTTAACATGGGAAAAAGTTTATCTGAAAATTTTTAAATTTAACTTTTCATTAAAATTCAGTTATTGTTAAAAAAAAGTCACTTTTTTTTATTGAAATCAAGAGTTAATTTTTCTTTTTTAAACACAGTACAGTACTATATCTACATCAGAGAATGCTGTATGTCGACTTTATGTTTCCTATTCTACCTTGTGTTTACTATATGTACAAATGAATCTTAATGATAAATAATGTTAGATTAAAAAAGCTAGTGTTTCTTTTGTAAATTGCTTATTTTTTTGTTCCATTGAAGTTATGGATCCTATCAAGTATTTTTCTACAGGATGCATGTAATGTACTTTTTTACATAGCATTCTTTGCAACATATCTACCACACACAAAAAAAGATAGGTGTATCTTCTCAGCATAAAAACAACTGGAAGGCAACATGATAGACTGAACAGCAACAGCTGGCAAGATTTCCAGTTTTAATACCCGATGCTGATACTGGCCAATATCTATACTTTAAGACCTGATACTGATATCAATACATTAAAACTATTCATGATACCAATATTGATACTTTTGTGGTATTGGGACATCTCTAGCTGCAGTATCCAAAATAAAAAGATATGTAATCTGATATTGCTAGTTTTTTTGAGAATTTTCATTTCTAAGAGTGCAGTTAAGGATAGATTTTATATTTTATAAACTCAATCACAATTGCTAATATTTAATTGTAAAATTAATTTAATTATATATATATACAGAGTGCATAAAAGTGAATTAACCATACTTTGCATGTTATATATGTAATTATGAATACAAACTGTAAACTGAGTTCAGAATAACATGTTTTTCTTTTGAAAATTTGATGGAAACATAATTAAAAAACGAAAAAACAATTAGAATGATGTTAACCATTGAAAAACCCATGATATAACAAACTTCAATTCTTTATTTTAAAAGTTTTAATACATCCAAGTTTCCATAAATTTGGCAAAAACATTTGTTCCATACAAACAAAATAAGCATCTTGGAACTAATAGTCAAAACTTATTAATAAATGTACAGTAAAACTGTGCTTTGCAGCTACCTCAGTTACCTCGCCACCTCACTTAAGACAGAAGTGTTCTAAAATGATATTTATATGTGGTCCTATAGAATAGAAAAACATAATGCTTCCATACTCAACATATTGTTTAAAGCACTTTTTAAAAATGGAATTATGAGTTTTGTTGATATACTTTTGGAACAATTTGCCACGTTCTCTCCCACAGATGACATTCAAATATCAATAGAATAAACTTTATTTACACTTGACAAATTTAATTTATCTCCAGAATTTAATAAAAATAAAGATATATATTTATTCAATAATTTTTACCAAATCTAATTGTATTTTTTTAAAATATATCTGTAAATCAGTAATGATCATCTATGTTACTGATATATTACTTGAAGCCTTGAACAAAGAAAAATATCAATGAGCCTGATGTAGAAACTAGTTTAATTATTAACACTTTTTTCAAACACTTGAACACTTCTGTTTGTTTAATAATTATTTCTGAATTTTCCTGTTAAAATACAGTATTTACGTAAAACCTTTACTACCATTTCATAAACACATTGATTTGTCTATAGATACTAAACAGAAATTGTTTAGTATCTATAGTACTATTCATTCAAGTACTACACAGTACTTGAATGAATAGTACTGCAAACAGCTTGCATTTGCTGTGCATTTACTCTATATTTCATTATTCAGTATTAATACATTATCCTGTATGAAAGTTTGAATACAAGGTAATGTATTAACACAGTATTATGTAAATTTTTTACTTATTTATTTATTTTTATAATTTATATTATACTTTTAACAGGATTCAGAACAACAGAGAATACATCCATACTTGGTACTGTATTAACGAATTAAAATTTATTATATAAAGACTGGAAAAAAAGCAATGTTAACATTAATTGCACTATAGATAACTCTGCAAATATTTAATTATTATACTCTTATCAGCTTTTGTCATAAGGTACTGTACATATGTATGAATTAGCAGAAAAGGTTACAATATACATATTAAATATAACTTAAGTTTATATATATGAGTAAACTCTAAATAAATTAAAGTCTTAAACTAATTAATTATCAATATTTTAGAATAAATTCATGAAAAACAGTTATTTATGTGAGAAACTCAGCATTTTGAATGAGTATTAATGTACTATTTTAAACATTATTGTTCATGCTTTGGGATAATTTAGTACTTCTTCAATGTTTTAAAAAAATGTAAAATTTTAAATCTTTATATACAACTCATTTTTTATTAGTATTAAAAATGATTGGCTATATAATAATAAATGGCTCTAAATTCCTTTAAAATATAGCAAAAATCTGTTTTGTTGAGTGCTTGGAAAAACATTTAGAGTGGGTTCCAACAAAGCAGATTTTTGTTATTTCAATTATTGAATATTTTCTAAATTAGTTTTTATGCTTTAAATAAATATATTACAGAATAATTTAAAAGTCTGTAAGCATGCTAAGAAGTTATCTGTATATTTTTCCTTATACTCTGTACACATTTTAATTTTTCCAATTTCTTCTGGATATCACTTGTGTTAACAATTGCATTAAAACCAGGGCTGTGGAGTCGCGTAAAAATCTACCGACTCCGACTCTTCCTTACCATCCGACTCCGACTCCGTTTCATATACATAACAAGTTGGTAAGTAAAAAGGGAGTTGGAGTCGGCGGATTTTTTGACGACTCCGACTCCGACTCCGACTCCGTTTCATATACATAACAAGTTGGTAAGTAAAAAGGGAGTCGGAGTCGGCGGATTTTTTGACGACTCCGACTCCGGCCAAAACACCAAAACTCCACGACTCTGACTCCGACTCCACAGCCCTGATTAAAACAACCCTTCATACCTATTTTTTAGATCTTTGTTGCAAAGTGGAACTGAGAAATTTTTCACTTACACAATTTCCAAAAAGAATCATGTGTTATTAAGTCTTAATGGTGAGGAAGAAAAACTATTGAATTACTATTTTTATCCACTAAACTGGTTGTTGGGATATTCTCTAAATGACAGAGCATAGAGATTTTGTGACTAATAAATTGTTTCATTGCAATACATTGTTACAAAAAATAGTAATATTGAGCTAAGTTTTGCCTATTAAATACAACAGTATTCAATATAATTCATTTTAGAAAATATAGGATAAGCTTGATAATACTGATAAACCTAGGAAACAAAAAGGCAAACTTGGTTTACAGAATGCTTGTATCATCTGTTTTTTTTTTCTATATTTTAAGAGATTCATTAAAGTAAGACAAAAATAAAAGTAACATTAACTGATACTTACTGTACGATAATCTTAATGTAAAATAAATGTGTTTGGAACTATTTTTAGAATGATCTGCTAACAGAGACTTGTGTGTTCAAAATTTTACCAAATCTATATAAAAAATTATACAATAAATTAAATAAAACACTATAAATATCAATAAAACATTTCTTAACTCTATTTTAGAAGATGAATAATTATCCATACGAATCTTTCTTTGATAAATGCAATATAGTGCACTAACAAACATTAGATTTTACAGCATTTTTACAACTAATTACACTGACTAAAATTCATTTGAGCATCTTGGCAAATGTAATAAGTTGTATAAATATAATATAATTTCTATGGAGATTATATTACATTTATAATTATACTTGATATAGTCTATAAGTATAACATACAATGATACAATAAAGTACAAGATTACAATTAACATATCATATACCTCAGGTGGGCAACCTTTTTAAATGCGTTTGCCAAAATCTTCAAATTTATGATAACAAATATGTCCCTAAAAATTTGGCATTTGGTATCTTAAGTATAGAGAAAATCTCTTTAAATAATAAAAAATCTACATATATACACACTTATAAACCTGATAAATTCTTTACAAAACATGAAAATATATATAAAAAGAGATTGGATATTTATTTTTTTAAGACGAGCCCTGGGTCGCACGCCAGAAAAAGTCATTGGCATACATACCAATGACGCCTCACTCATCTTATACTAATTGTCAGTCTCCAGTGTTAATACATCAATTGTTACCAATATATAATGTTAGATATATTTATATACATGACAAGCAGTGAATCACAATAAGTTTCGTAATTATTTATTTAATATGAGAATTTTATATAGCATATATGAAGATATTTCACATAGATATAGCATTAAATGCCTGTTAATTCTTCTATTGTGGCATTTAATTTGTTATTTAGTTTGTAATTATTAAAAAAGATTTTTAAAAAAATTAAATATGTAATGTGCATGGGTTTTTGTTAGTAAAAATAAAAATTTAACTAATTTTTAAAATAGAAACTCTCACTTTTCAGGAATTAACACCTGAACCTCGACTATTTGTAGAAGGAGCAACCAGATTTGATGTTATTCAAGGAGAATTGGGTAATATAAATAATAGTATTTTCTTGTTTTACTTTCAAAACATTATTTTTTAATATTAATAGTTTATAACATTTAAAAAACAGTGCTTTAGAAGTATATCATAATAAATTTATTATTTTAATACAGGTGATTGTTGGCTGTTAGCAGCTGTAGCAAACTTGACTTTAAATGACAATTTGTTTTTTCGAGTCGTGCCAGACGACCAGTCATTTGTTAAAGATTATGCAGGAATCTTTCACTTCAGATTTTGGCAATATGGTAGATGGGTAGAAATTGTGGTAGATGACAGACTTCCCACTAGTCGTGGACAATTACTTTTTATGCATTCTAAACATAAAAATGAATTTTGGAGTGCATTACTCGAGAAAGCTTATGCTAAGTAAGTAGCTTTATTAATACTTTCTTAGTTAATTGTAATGAATTTACAAAGCAATTATTTTTGTATAGACTTCATGGATCATATGAATCACTACGTGGTGGGGCAGCAACCGAAGCTATGGAAGACTTCACGGGAGGATTGACAGAATCTTATGAGCTTAATAATGCTCCTAATAATCTCTTCTCAGTTATGCTTAAAGCATATCAGAGATGGTCTCTTATGAGCTGTGCAATAAATGTAATATATTTTAAATTAAATTCTTTATTTCTAGTTTAAAAAGTAATAAATGTTTTCCTTTAATATAGCCAGATCCTAATGTTGTTGAAAAAGTAAAGGATAATGGTTTAGTCATGGGTCATGCATATAGCATTACTAAAGTAAAACTGGTAAGAAAATATTTTGCATGTATTTTTTGTTTATTATTAGTAATTATTAATGGACAGAAAGATATAATTTAGAATTTTAATAACCAATAGAAAGTGTTTAAGAATACAGTAGACCCCCTATAACACTGTTGATAATTCCGTGTTATATGAATTCCATGTTGTACGAGTCACTTAGATTTTACAAATACATGAGCCATTCACAGCCCGGCACACATATTTGTAAAATCTAAGAGCCTCGTACAATATGGAATTCATATAACACGGAATTATCAACAGTGTTATAGGGGGATCTACTGTAATAATGAACACCTTTGTTATAGCTCAAAATATAATTATTCATTCACAGATCTGTGTTCCTTAACTAGGATTCCCTACACTATTACTAATAATTATTTTCTGCTTTCTATATTGGACTTGATATTTATAAATATTCATTAAGAAACTCTTTTGCTTCACAAGAATAAAAATGGATCATCTCAAATTGGAAAGATTCAATGTGAAATAAACATGCTTGCATTTTGTTTCTTTCTTTATGGAAAAGTTGTCTCAACCACTATGAAAAGAAAAAGTCCATGACTCCTTATAGTCATCTTTATTGCACTTCATTTATGTAGGACATTGGCCAGACAAAAGATATTGGTTCATTTGTTAGCTATTTTTTTATACTCCAAGCCCCGAAACAATAGTGTTGCCAATACATAACAGTTATTAAAAAAAAAAATACATTAAAAATCATTATAGTTAAAATGAATAAGAACAAATGACTGATATTAAGAAGTTAGATAACTGTTAATAAAATGTGCACAAGATATAAATGGCTTAGTCTTGCATCTCAATGAGTATTAAATTATTCCAGTTGCATAGCCTTATTCATTGAGCATCTGATAATGATCTAAAGGGTCTTTACTCTTTAGGTCATCATCAGATGCCAATCAAAATATGATATTAACCACACTATTTTCACACAATAACTCCTAACTGGGTAAAATTGATAAATAAACAGCCACAGAAACCAAAATAACCAGCAAAAAAAAGTGATAGAGTGCCAACATTTTCACCCATGTTAAATGGGCACCATTTCTGCTGGTTATCTTGGTTTTTGTGGCTTTTTTTTAATCACACTGGTTTCTTTTCATCATGCTAATCAGAAATGGTGGAGTGCAAATAAGATACTTTTGCCTTCTTATATATTAAAATGTATAATTTAAGTTTATTTTCACAATTATTCAATAAATAAATAAAACAATTTAGTTAATTTCATTGTATAATATATACTTAATAATGAATAGGTTGAAATCAGAACTCCTAGAATAACAGGAAAAATTCCTTTATTACGAGTAAGAAATCCATGGGGTGAAGGTGAATGGAATGGACCTTGGAGTGACAGGTAAGAAAAAAATAGATAATTTATTTATATATTTCAAATTTTAAAGAATTAAAAAGTTACTTTATTAAGGTCCCGAGAATGGAGTTTGACTTCTGAAGATGAAAGAAAAGAAATTGGTTTAGTGTTTGATAAAGATGGAGAATTTTGGTTTGTATCAGCTCAATTTTAACATTAACAAACTGTACAATATTAATAAGATCTTATCAACATTTCTAGGATTTCATATAAGGATTTCCTAGAAAACTTTTCTTATCTTGAAATTTGTAACTTAAATCCTGATTCACTTGAAGATGAACCCCTGACTAAGCTCTCAAGGAAGAAGTGGGAAATGAGTATGTATGAAGGTTCTTGGGTAAAAGGTTGTACTGCTGGTGGATGTCGGAACTTTGAAGGTGATTTTTTTTCTTATTAATTTATTTTTAATTCTCTATCACAAAAAATTATTTATTTGCTTCTCAAAAACTATTTATAGGGTAAAGATGATCTAGATATAGGAAAATTTTTCTTAATTACTTTATTTACCAATAAACAGTTCTACACAAACGTTGTACAGGGTAGTTGAAATTAAACTTCTCTAATTCAGAGGGCTCCGGAGAGTATTCTACTGCTCAAAATGTAACAGCATTTGGACAACAGGTACTTCAGATGATGCGCTCACCATTTATTAAATAACAATTTTTCATACAAAAATGCACCGATAGGTGGCATTGGAGTTATGCAACTGGGGTGTGAACCTGTTTCATTACTGGAGAATGGTATCTGAATATGCTACAACTTTTTTGATCCCAAAGCTTCAACAAAACCCTGAAGATAGCATATTCATGAAAGATAGTGCACCATCCCACATCTCTCACTCTTTTCTTTGTGTTAAGGCAGACTTTTACAGATGAATAGGTAATCAGTCATTATTTCCCAACAGCCTGGCCTCCTTGTTCACCTGATTTTACCCTATATGACTTCTGGCCATGGTATTTTTTGAAAGATCAGGTCTATCATGAAAAATATGCATTTGTGTCAGATATAAATGACAGAGTTCATTGACATGTTCCAGTATTCATTATGTTCAGGAGTGGAAAAACATGCTTTTGCATAAGGAGCACATTGAACATTTGTAACCATGATTTGCATAACTCCAGCACCACTTATTGATGACTTCTTGTATGAAAAATTTTTATTTAATAAATGACAAGTGCATCATCTGAAGTACCTGTTGTGTAAATGTTGTTTCATTTTGAGCAGTAGAACATTTTGTGGACCCTATGTATTTTGCGGTGTTCTATGCTTAGTATCATACATGTATAGTAAAGTTATTTCAGAATATGTAGTTAAAAAACTGTGTTTATAACAGCATGAATATCAAACTGATTAAGCATAAGTTGGCTGAGAGGCATAGAGGGCAACAGGCACTAAAGCTGTTATCCATTGAAGCTGTGTGTATCTAGTATGGTTATATCTGAATTAGTTAAGTAATCAATACTTCTAGAAGTGACAATTGAATGGTAACACAATCTTTATGGTAAGCAAGAGTTGCAAGTTCAAGTCCCACTTTGAGCCAATCTCTTCTTCCATAATATTCTAAATTTAAAGTACATTAATTTAAATTTGTAATTTATTGTAATGTACAGTACATAGAGTATATTAATGTAATATTAAATAGTTATGTTTTTACCATTATTAAAATTATACTAGAAATTTGTTAATAGAAAGTGGAATGCATTTTTTATATAACTGTATTCTGTAGAAAATATTCAAAAAGTATTTTCTTAAGAAAATAATTAAATGTCAATTATCCTCTGAGCATTTGGACACATTCACGAGAATTTCACAGTTTCAAATTATTCACAAGTGTTACTTATTTGAAGAAAGTTGAAAACTTGAGATTACCACTTAAGAATTACTTATCTGATTCTCTAGTCTTTTTAGTGAAAAATAATTACCGTACTAAAAGTGGCTAATTAAAATGAAAGTTAATATTTCTCTGTATTACAGTTTCTTCTGTTATTTATAAAAGAACAGGAATGCATACAAAAAATTATTATTAGAGATGTTTTTTATAAATGATTTATCATATATGGTGAACTTTATTCTCATTTTGAGTTAGACAAAACTATGATTATTATATAGCCCAGTGTTTCTCAATCAGGGACAACAGAATGTTTCAAGGGAGCCGCACTTTAACAATCAAGTTTGAGAGCCAGAGCAAACTCTAGTGGGATCACAATCAGAATAAAATATTAAAATTATATAAAAGCATTTAAACTTCAATAAGTAAATTATTAGAAAAATGTATGTAAATTTTTAAAATACAGGTATATCTCGCCTTACATCGGTAATTGGTTCCAGGAGAGGCGACGTAAGTTGAAAAACGACGTAAGTTAAATTTACTTGTCTCCAAATCTACTTGTCACTAGGCTAAACCATAAATTACCATTCCCAGTTCTGTATTTATTTATTAATGCATTTTTAATAATATATGGTTAATAGGATCTATTTTAAGCTTACAAACAAATAAATTTTAGTTTTTAATATAGTACAGAAAAAAGTAATCTAAATTTACAAATGCATGTACTGTAAATACAGTACATACTTGTAAATGTATATATTTTAATATGATTTTATGTGCTTTAAACGTTTTTCTAGTGGTATTACGACTTCAATATTTGTGGTGGACAGACTTAAAGTCGAATAAAATGACTTAAACTTGATTTTTATTTTTCCATATACTTTTTTGACAAACGACGTAT